CCTTTAGATAATGTGACCAAGACATGCAATAGGATGGCATGGCTAATGTAACCAACTTCAAAAGCACGTCTTTTCCATCTGGGTTTAGTAATTTGCTCTTCCAGTTTTTCAGCTATCATTGGTTCTGGATATTACCATTGGTAGCCCCCGATATTTTTCTTGTGTCATCTCTTTCATACTCCTAGATCTCCTGTAAATCTGGACCTTGTAAATTTGGGATAAGTTCTTGCTATAGAACAGTGAATGACTTCTGCACAGTAATTTACTGACCTGATGCTTTTCATATTTTCTCAAGATCTCCGTGATAGCATCTGCTGTTAGGGTGGTTATTTATATTTAACCTTTGATAAAAACCATCACCGATTAAACCTAAAATCAATATGACGATTATTAAGAAATAAATTACTGATAAAATTGCGGAAGCGTACCTGGATTCATATCGACAAACTGATATATGAATCTCCAAGGGTATTGGAGTGGCCTTCCAGGTAAACACGTATTCGCCGATCCTTGAGAGAACCCTTTAGTACCTCTTTGGTATCTTTCCTGACGATGGGATATCAGGGAAGAGTTATATTTTGTAATACTAGAAAATACGACAAATAAGAATAATACCGTGTCACCTGGGGACCATAACCTTATTTATAAGTAACATTCTTGTTACTCTTTGGAACCCTATTTCAGCCCATCATAGAAATAGGAGCTCTTAAATCTCTACACATTAAAGGTCTACACCCTATTAGATACATTAAGACCAAGTTATATTTGATCATTTTAATTAGATTTAACCTTAATTGACAGTTTGCAACACATAATTATTCACATATAAGTCCAATGTTGGATTAAGGATCTAACAATCTCTCACTTGGACTATATGTGTAACCTTATAATTATGTTTCGCAATTAATCGTATGAGCTCAACTTTACTGTCATTATCATAATGTATCTGTAACCAAGTCAATCAATCATACCAATATAGGATCAAAGCGGCCTTCTGTTACAATTTCGTAACTCGATCCATCAATGGTCACATATATTGATATAATTGAATGACATGAATCATGATGTGGATGTGTAGCATGAAAATTTCATGTAATGTGATCAAAACATGCTTATTTCCAACTGATCCATCTTAAATTTTCACGAGATCAAATCATACTAAAGTCAGAGTGTAAATGAATCCAAACTTTATTTATGCATAAAATATCTTTAAATCATTAATAACCGAAAAAATATCATAAAAGCATTTAAAATATCAAACTCCTACTAAAACTGTACATCATTTAATAACATGATACCCATATGAGCAATAACATGATACCCTCATGAAACATTTTGGGTGGCAATCCCTTAGTAAGCGAATTCGCAACCATGGAGTTTGTTCCGATATACTCTATCGATAACTGTCCATTCTGTACTATTTCTTTAACAGTCAGGAATTTGATATCTATATGTTTAGATTTCGTCGAGTTCCTATTATTATTGGAATATAGGACTGCTGACTTATTTTCACAGAATAATTTGACTGGTCTTTCAATACTATCCACTACACGTAATCATGTGACGAAATTTCGCAACCAAATTTCTTGATTGGATGCCTCATAACAAGTTATAAACTCTGCAGCCATAGTAGAAGATGCTATCAGGGACTGTTTAGCACTTTTTCAGGATATGACCCCTCCAGCCAACAAGTAGATATAGTTTGATGTTGATTTCATAGTATCTTAGCATCTAGTATAATCGGAATCAGTATACCCAATGATGTCTAACTCATCTGACTTCCAATACGTGAGCATGTAATGTTTGTTTTCTGTAAATACCGTAAGACCCTTTTGGTTACTTTTCAATGATCTAATCTTGGATTGCTTAAATATCTATCCAATATTCCAGTAATGTACGCAATATTCGGACGCGTTCATACTTGAGCATACATTAGACTCCCTATTGCTGATGCATAAGGAATTTTTTGCATCTCTTTTTCCTCAAAAGTATTCTTAAGACACTGTTCAAGACTAAATTTGTCTCCTTTAGCCACGGGAATGTCACTTGGTTTATAATTTTGCATGCCATACCTTTTAAGAATCTTTTCGATATAGCTCTTTTGTGATAGTTCTAAAATACCCCGAGAGCGATCACGGTGTATCTGTATGCCTAACACAAAAGATGCATCAGCAAGATCTTTCATCTCAAAATTTTTAGTTAGAAATTTCTTGGTTTCATGCAATAGACCCATATCGTTGCTGGCAAGTAAAATATCATCAATATACAATACCAGAAAAATATACTTGCTCCCACAGAACTTATGGTATATACAATTATCTACTAGATTCATCTCGAAACCAAATGAGATGATCACTTGATGAAATTTGAAATACCATTGTCGAGACGCTTGCTTGAGCCCATAGATGGATTTTTTAAGTTTGCAAACCATATTCTTTGGATCTCCTGATACAAAGTTTTTTGGTTGCACCATATAAATCGTCTCATCAATGTTACCATTGAGAAACGCTGTCTTTACATCCATCTGATGTAATTCAAGATTAAAATGCGCCACTAATGCCATATAATTCTAAAAGAGTCATTTGAAGAGACTGGAGAGAAGGTTTCTTTATAGTCGATACCTTCTTTTTGTGTAAATCCCTTGGCGACAAGACGAGCTTTGTATATTTTCACATTGCCTTTCGAATTTCTTTTGATTTTAAATATTCATTTACAATCAATGGGTTTCGCTTCTTCTGGCAATGGGATAAGATTCCAAACGTCATTGTTCTTCATGGATTTAATCTCCTCATTCATGGTATCGATCTACTTTGAAAATTTAAACTTTTCATGCCTTGACGGAAGTTGATTGGATCATCTTCCATCAATTTAGAGTCATCCTCATGTTCTTGGAGAAAAATAATATAATCATCTGGCACTGCATTTCTCCTTTCTCTAATGGATCTTCTTAATGACACTGGTTCTTGGAGAGAAAGAGTTTGTTCTTCTATAACAGTTTATTCTTCGACATTGTCTTAATTTGTTATGTCATGATCAAGTTCAGGAATGGGATTCTGAACAAAATCAATGACACCTGTGGGAATATTAATATATTTCTCTTTAAAGACAGTATCTCTTACTGTATTTTCTCCCCCAAACTCGACATCCTCAAAGAATCGGGCATTTCCTGTAGGAGAGGTGAGTACTATGGTAGATATAACGGTTCAGGTGAACAACATTCAGGACCATTTGCTAAATACCTAGAGGAATGCGACATCGTCTTACAATACACTATGTCGGGTTCACCCACTATGAATGGTGTAGTTGAAAGACGAAATAGAACATTTAAAAATATGGTAAGGAGTATCATATGTCATTCTATCTTACCAGAGTCACTCTGGGGTGAAACACTTAAGACTGCAGTATATATCCTTAATAGAGTTCTAACTAAAGCAACTATCAAAAACCCTTATAAGATTTGGACAGGGAAAAAATCCAATTTAAAACATCTGCATGTTTGGGGGTGTCCAGTTGAGACAAGACCTTATAAGCCAAATGAAAAGAAACTGGACTAAAAAATAATTAGTTGTTATTTTATTGGATACTCTGAAAGATCCAGAGGTTATAAGTTTTATGATCCCACAACTAAATCAATTTTGAGACAAAAAATGCCCGGTTCTTTGAGGATGTCGAGTTTGGGGGAGAAAATACAGTAAGAGATATTGTCTTTAAAGAGGAATATATTAATATTCTCACAGGTGTCATTGATTTTGTTCAAGATCCCATTCCTGAACAAAATGACAATGAACTTTAATGTGCTTAGATATTAGTAAAGAGCAATTAAGTGATATTTTTACTAAATCTTTAAGTGGTCCAAGAATTGATTATATTTGTGACAAAATGGACATAATTAATGTCTATACTCCATCTTGAGGGGTAGTTTATAGATATTAGTAAATAAATGTAAACATTTGATTTGATTATAGTCTCTGATACTAGAAATTAGATTCTAGATTGATTTAGATTTGATCCTACAAGATTTTATTAGATTTTGATTGATTTAAATTAATTTACACTTGCACAAATGTTTATATATTGTGCACTCTTGATAGTACGAAGAAGGCGATTTTTCTCCCCTCAGTATTCACCCTAGATCATGTCATACCTCATTTGCTTGGTTATGTTATGAGCTGCATTTTACCATGGGTGTTGAATACAAGTTGAAGCAAATACTTGGGAGATAAGTGTAGGGCAAAGCAGAATCTCCAGTAGGGGTGGCAATCGGGTTCAAATCGGGTTGACGGGTTGAGTTGAGACTTGGGTATAACAAAAAAATTCACTAACCCGCCAACTCGAAACCGGTCAGGATACCTGACCCGAACCCGAAAATTTCGGGTTGACGGGTAGACCCAAAACTTAATTTTAATTTATTAATTTATTACTGTAATTTTTAATAAAATCAATTTCGCACAAGACTAATTACATAATCAAATAATAAAATTTTAAATAAATAATCCCAAACCAAATCTAAAATAAATTAAAACACCGTAAAAGTGTTTTATCCTAAACTAAATATAAATTAAATTAAAACGGTATAAAAGTAAAAAATAATATAATACATTATTTGTCCAAATATATAATAATTTCAACTTCACACAAATTAAATAAATTCATTTAGGATTAAGTGATTAATCCCTTTGAAAAAAAAAATAACTTAGTTTAGTTAGATAAAATAACTTTTATTTTTATTAAATTATTTTTAATTTGTAAACGAGTTATCGGATCATATCAGATCACCCACGGATTACTCCGAATTCGATCCGTTTTCTTTTCGAGTTCATCGAGTTCGATCCGATTATGACCCGAACCCGCAAAATCTCAACCTAAACTCATTAATTTCGTGTTAGATTCATGTCGTGTTTTCAGGTCGTGTCGAAAATTGCCACCCCTAACCTCCAATCAGATGGAGAAGATCATTTGAAAATATTTTCAAATTGGTTGTTATCGAACTTAAAAAGGAATGTATTTAAAATACATAAGAGATATAAATATATATATAAAAAATTCCAAAATGTCCCAAGATACAATTTAACTAATAGAAACATCAACCAATTAATTGCGACGTCCTAGTTCAATTCTCAGTCCATCTCACCATCTCAGAATCAATGCCGTCGGAACTTTTTTGTGATATCCTCTGAAACAAAAAATCGAATAAGTTTCTGAATTTGTGTTTAAAAGTCACAATTAGAGTAGCAGATACATGGTATAATGCTAAAACTTGGGTTGAATGCATTATCAACTAAGTGATTGCAAAAACAACATAAAAAATTAATGATCACAACTTCGATGCAGATAATCAACTAAATAGAATATGTTTTTCTAACAAACGAGAAAGAGAAACAATGCAACCTTAAGATCTCTGTTCTCTTTCTCTAGGTTTCAAATTGCTCTTTCCAAAGTCTCCACCATGTTATCAGTGTCATCATTGTCTCCTGTACAACACCTGTAGTCTTCCATCTTCATATATCTTTTGGCTCAACTTATCACAAACTTTTTCATCTCTGAGGGCAACTGTAAAAGAAACAAAGATTAAATATCACAAACTAAAAAAGCAAGTATATCCTTTGTGATGTTGCTATCTTCCAGAAGAAAGAGACTAGAAAATGGAAAATGAAACTGCAGGTCCAAGGTAGAGTTGCTTGGCACCAAAGTACAGGTCTTACTTTCCTTTGCACTTCCGATTAGATAGAAGATTTATTCTCAGAGAGAGAGAGAGAGAGAGAAACTTCTGAGTAGAAGATAGAATATTTAGTCTCAGAAAGAGAGAGAGAGACTTCTGAGTAGAAAGAGAGAAAGAAAGCTGCACAAGCCTTCCTAAAGAACTTTGCAGCACATCAGCCTTCATAAATAACTTTACTAATGTGTTGTTTGGCAACATGAAGTATTTGCATGCAAGAACATCCCAACAACAAAAAATATATAAATTTCCAAAAGAGTACCATAACCATATTTGCTCAAAATCTGGCAATACCTTTTAATCTTAGTTTTATATTTTCCAACTTGCTACATTCTCTGTCCAGTTCCATCTGCAATTCCTTTACTTCTAACTGATGACTTGCTTGAAATTGCTGGAATTAAATCATAAAATTGATACCAAGAGTTGTATTGAGCTGAAAAAAGGCTCAAGTTTCTCATTAGGTAGCTCTCCTTCGGTACAGAGTACAAGAACAAACTCAACATAATTCTTAAAAAACTTGAACTAATCATAAACAAAATATCCAGAATTACTTTTAACAACTAACTTGACTTATTCTAGAGCTAAAAATCTGCAATAGAAGTATCATATAGATTGTTTCACATATCTCACAATAATGAATTTGCGTGCCGCAAGTTACACTTCAATTTCATATGTTTGTAAGGGAATTCAACTTTGAAATTGCAAAGATGTTATTATTTGGATGCATCAAAGTCATCGCTAGTTTTGGAGTTTGGCTCAAAATCTGTAGTAAAGGCAGCAAGGAGGAGTGTTGAGCAATGCAATTGTACTGCAAATTTTAAGCTCTACAAGCTGTTTTGAATTCCAAGTATTGAATTCAGTCTTTTGACTAGTTCAAGTTGTTTTGAATTCCAAGTATTGTTTTTGAGAATCTTTATGAGAGAATTATGTTGAGTTTCTTCTTGTACTCTTTATAAAATGAGAGTTGATTAATGCAAAACTTGAGTTTTTTTTCAGCCCTCAATACAAGTCTTGGTATCAATTTTATGCTTTAATTCCAACAGAAATGCTGTCAAACGCTGGAAGCATGTAGAGATCCTAGAAGCATGTATACATCTATTATCCAGTTTATTCATTACCAACAGATAATGAAGGGCAGAAATGGGAAGCTAAATATCTGAACAGTGATATTTGAATAATGTAAGAAAGGACAATTAGTTCTACAGACAAATAGATGGCAAGTTGACAAACTTTCCCCACACCTCAGCTCCTGTAAGTATTCACGACAGGTTCAATTATTATTCTTCTTAGCAAGCCAAAAAGAATTGCAAGGACAGTCAAGTAACAGTAAATTGTCAAAGTTGTAAAATTGTGTCTTTGAATTAGATGGTATGGCTAATACCTAATCAGGGCATCCAATTCCATTTTTCGGTCCATCTTGTTTAGGATACGACCATTCTGCAATATGCTTCCAGTCGCATGATTTTTCACCATGACTTACTTTGGTGGTTGGTGACTGCTAGTTCCTTGAACAGTTGAAGATAACATCAGTCACAACAAAAGGCAGGTAAGAAGTTCCTCTTGACAACATTTTTAAGCATAAAACAAAACAAGGATAATAGGTATATAACAGAAAAAGGAATAAATAAGAAACTGGCACAAAGAGTCTACTGATTCAATGCAGTCATGTCCACTAATTAACAGTTAACAACAAGATATACATACAGAAGGTGTTTGCAACTTCTAAAGATAATGAAACAATATGAACTCCATCATTGTAGGCATGGGAGGACCACCAGTTACAGTTTCAAGTGCATCAGCTCAAAAATAAAGGAAAAATCTATATATTCCAGGTAATCTGTCATGAAAATTATTATAAATGCTTAATATCTATCTCTTTGCAACACTGTCAACCAAAAGGATTACTGGATTTCAAACAATACCCTGGCAACCACCATAACTCCCAATACAACTGGAAGAAATGACATCATTTGTGTTATTAATGGTGACAATAAGTCGTCCTAATTCCACTAGCAACACTCAGTTCCCATATGACCAAGAAAGATTAAAAGAAAAATCACTTACATAAATTTCACAAGTTTTCAGGTTTCCAAAATTGTACTCATTCAATTATTCCCTGCTATATATTCCCTCTGGATATCAACACTCACCTTCGTGCTTCTAGATACATTTACAGCAGCATTGTTGCACGGAGATTTTGCTTCAGTATTCCACATCTTCATTAAGCCTCATAATTCTATCCTGTCAAATGAAATCTTTTAGATGTAACCAACTGAAAAGCGCATGTATATCTACCCTCCAAAATCATGATACTAGGAAACAAGGTAACATAACTTACAAACCCATACTGGAAAAAGCCAACCACCATAGCCTCAACCTATTAAGACCATGAAGTATCTAACCACAGAATATCAATATTAACTTAATGACATAACAGTGACTCACTCCAAATAAGAAAGGCGCAATCTAGCTCGGGCAGGAAGCAGCCTAAAAGTTTCCCTTGACATGGGCATGAATATTTCATAAGTTTCAAACACAGGGAACCCAGGACTAAAGAAAAAGTTAAAGAAACTGAAAAAAGAGAAAGAGCAAAGCCAAGGAAATTGTAAATTATCAAACTGTTTTGCAAAAGAAACAGAACTTTGAATAAATCAGATTAAGGAAAATACTACAGCATGTTCATCGGAAAATTCTTGAATTGAACCTTCAGTTTCAATACAAAGTCAAATTCTCAATAGGACTCTCATGTTAATATAGAGCCTACCATCCAAAATGGCCAATTACCAGAACAAGAAGATTCAACAATTGAACAAAATTTGCTTCCTTAAATATTCTAACAATTGGACATTAAAATCGCAGAGCATGACTGTAAATGAGGTTGCCATAAACCCCTTAACTATGCACCAATCAACATTTTAAATCTAGTTTTTTCCCCCAAGGCTGTGAAGAAGTTGGGGAGTGGGGTTGTGAAGGGCAAGGGAAAGGGAAAGATTCACTGAGGGTACAAGATAGAAGGTTTAAGAGAAAAGAATAAATTGTATAAAGAGAGAGGAGAGAGAGAAAAAAATCTCTCAGCAATGCAGCATAATTATTGGACAAAGTTTTAATTTCTGCTTGAAACTGATCAATCTGCATTAAGAGTATAAAAGAAAAATTCTTTAAGCCACTGAATTATGTCAAGCCATCTTATTTTATCATAATATAAAACAAGAAATTTCAAATTATGATAGCAACAACATGTCTATATATCCCCACAAGATAAAAAAGAAGTTCTCTAATTCTGCCCCCGATTTCAGAATAAGGTTAAATAGTGGTAAGAAAAAGGAATGACGGCGTAATTGGTCACAAAATTAATCTAACACTATAAGCAAGTTACTCAGTACCTAGCATGCAAAATTGTAAGCTGCATGCACGAAAAAACATTCCTGGAATCAATATCTACAAGACTGCTCAAAATATGTAAATTGCAAATTTTAATGCCTGTTGCTTAAAAAGCTTCTCAAGCTAATGTTTATTTCCTGTTCTATTGGCAAAGCAAATGCAAATCGTGGAAGTGTATATTGGGACAGTTTCTCACATTGAGACTGCCATGTGAGTGGGATGGTAAAATTTGAAAAGGAAGAATTAATCTGATGATATAAAACAAATTCGCAAGAGTTTGAAGATATGAAGTCATGTTGATCACTGAGGTTCACACGCTACAACAAATTTGCCCCAATCAGTAAAAATTCTGCATCGAATCTTTAGCACCGGTTATCCATAGCCTAACTACAAAGTGCTGCATATTGACTCGCAACAGTTTGAATTTGCAACTAAAACACAAATGAAAATTAGAGAAACAGACATTCCTTTATACATAAACAATATATCATCTATTGATAATGCACATAAAAATGTTGCACAAGCTATTCATTTGAGTCTTCTAGCTCACGTCATTTAGGTTTCACCAGGTAGGATGCCCATGTTTCATCTGATGGGGGAGGCGGCTGAACCCAGTGCCCTGGTATTCGGCTGCATTGAAGTTTTCCATAAGACACATAAGATGAGCTTTCAGGTTCTAAACAAAGACAAAAGCATATCAAACTTTCTGCTCAAAAACCAAACACCATGAGCCAAAAAAAAAAAGATTCATGGCACCAAAGGTAATACAAAGTCTTTGTGTGCCGCTTTTCCTCCCAGTAAATGATTAAGTGTTGGAGGAAATCCATCCCCAATCAAACCACGAACCCTAATAACCCATCCTCCTTCATCACACCAAATGCACAAAAGTAGTGAATAGACCCCCCAGACAAAATCTACTTGCGTGTTAGTAGACACCCCTCCTGCCCAAAACCCTTCCCGAATACACGGAAATCTGAAACCCCGCCACCCCCTGCCCCAATTTCAAAAACCAAGGCAGCTAACAATTCACAGTTGTTTCAGAGAATCATCGCACTTACCTTCCACCAGGTCTGATGTATGCATCCCATGTTCTCCTAACCTACATGGGATGAAACAACTAGTCAGCAAATTATTTCGATGAATCTTTCAAATTGTATTTAATAGTAAGCCTAGTGGCCTTTTCCATCATGGATATTCAAGAGATTTTAGCAGTTATAAAACTAGGAAAGTTATGTTTAGTTATCTTTATCTATGTTCGAACATACTTATGCTAATAGCAATGTATTCAAGGATGACATTATGCTCAATAACAGGTTTCAAAAAGTCTAGTTGAAAAAATTTGCCTAACTAGTGCTCAGATCACTCATTACAGGCCATAGACTATCTCTTAACATATAAGATATCCAACAAGAATGCTGTGAGGTAAAGGGAAAGGAAAATGTAAATTACTTCAATGAGGGTGCCCATATCAGTTTTGCTGCCGTAGTAGTAGTGATAAAATTCCATTGGCAAGTTTGCCATAGAATCATATGCAACAGTCGAACTTTGTCCTTCTGTTCCACTTGGTCTGGAGGCATTGCCAGTGACTACAGTTGAATCTCTTCTATCTTCACTTTCCACCATCATGTCTACAGTTTTGTTGTTATTGCTTGGTTTTTCAGAGTCAGGTCCACGATTTTGAATTCTAGATTCCTCGGCAGTTGCAATAGCATCTTTTGCAGCTTCTGTATCTGCTGCAGCCATAGCTTGTCGCTCCTCTTCCTCAACAGCAGCTCTAACTCTTTCAAGAAACTTGTCATCCTCTTCGGGGAGAAAATGACCTGCACAACAGAGAACATGGAAATTTCTTACATCAGTAACGAGATAATTCATTATCTGAGCATTTCAAAACTTTTAAAAGAGAATATTGCAAAACCTTTGAGCTGAGACAGATTATTACTTGTCTCAGCAGCATAACCCAGAAAAAATTTGCAATCAGAATGTGTTAAGAAGACTGAGAGTAAAACAATGTTTTTAGCATGTGCTGCACACTCTATCTCATTAAGAAATGTTCTTTAGATAGTCAGATAATGAAACTTTGGCACATTTTCTGTATAGAAATTGTTCGACTCCTTTCCCTCTATTGCACCTACCTCCAAATGTATGTAGAACAAAAGAGGAAAATGCTGTCTACTTTTGTAAATGAAATTGTCATTACCACATAACAGTACCAAAGTCAAGAATCACTGAGACATCACCTTGTTTTTTCAGTTTTTGGATCCTAAGGGACCGCAACTCTTGCAGCTTCTCCACGATCAGCATCAGCTCAAGCTGAAATTTGAAACTTGTGAGCTGAAGGTCTTGGAACAAGGGGAGCGGTAATAAGAGAAACAAGACAATGAGCAAGGAGAAAAGTTAAAAGCCATGCAAACCAAACATCCTCATCCTGTACAGCTGTACACTACCAGGGGTACACATGACTAACAACTACGAGCTTTGACATTTTCTTCCTCCACTCCCTAATTATACTCCAATAGTAAAACTGAATCCAGTGTCCTTCCTAATTCTTATTAATGAAATGGTTCTTGTGCTAAACAACATAGCTTCATAAGCAAGGTCTGTTTATTCAACCAAGAGACAGGAAAAAGCAAATTATTGTTTCAGTAGCAGTTGCAGCCGCAGCAGGGCTAAAATATGGAGCCAAATGTTCTCAAGCCTGAAAATGAACACAAGCATATGGATTTAAGCAAATGACTAGCCAATGTTCAATTGATCTTCACCTTCAACCTGTAATGCAATTGTAGGAACAATTGCAAGCATTGCTTTTGTCAAAAAGGAAAATATAGACCAAATGATAAGCAAATTAATGTACTCTTGACTCTTGAGAACAATAGCCAAGATATTTACAATTAAATTCAGAAATCGACTGAATTAATAATTTAGAGAATAGAATGGACTAAATCTAAATAATTTGGAGAATGGATTGCTAACATTTGAGTAAAAGAGAAGACGCTTATAGAAGATATTTCCTGAAAAAACAAGGTCTATATACATGATATATTAGCCCCTATTTGATAACCCAATAACCCAATTCAGCACTTAAACTTAATAGGTTCAGATCTTAATATGTTCAGACACGTTTGATAACAAAAAATAGAACATCTAAATTAATTAAATGGCAATGAGTTTTCTAGGCAAAACTTGCTCCAAAATTAAGTGATAAGCTATTCACTTATCACTTAATTTGATATATACTCAAATCTATCAGATTTAATACTTAACAATTCAGTAACTTAACGGATTTAGATGTTAGATTTCAGATTTGAGTTTTATCAAATGCACCCTTAGACACTCCTTTAATTTTAACCAAAAAGCTAGAGGACATGTCATCAGCCAATGTGGAATTTTGCAATATGAAGCATGTCAATAAGCGAATGCTTACCTCAGACTCTAATGTTTTCTTCTCTTCTTTTGCCTTAAGTTTTGCAATTTCCTTCAGCTTTTCTACCTGAATTCAATATCCATCTGTTAGCAAGAAGACATTTAAAGATGTAACAGTACGAAAACAACTCTATAGAAGCTACAACTTCATCCACTTTTACAACACAATCAAACCCAGACAAGGCAATATTAATTATACAAAAAAGGAGAAAGAAATTAGTCTTGAATTGAATGGTGCTTGCTTTCTGCCAAAAATTGAATTATATTAAAAAAATGCGGCTTGTATCATAGCCATCCATCGAGTAATACCATGGCAAAAGCCATACACTAAATAAGTGACCAACAACTCAAAGTTGTAAGAAAATCAACTTCAATATATAAAGGAATTTAGTGTGTTAAGAGATACACAAATATCATTGATGGAAGGAGATTATTGATTTCTTGTGCCTCAAATTGTTCATATTGTTTCATCAGTCCCAGGAGAAGGCTGATAGAAAAGGTTTGTCTTGAAAGTTTATGTTCAGCCATTGAATTATTCCAAATGCGCATTAAGGTTTCGTCATAAAGATCCAGGTACAACAAGGATATTCCACAACGCCCAAAGAAAATGCTAAAAGTTTAAAAAAAAAAAGCATCTTATGACCTGAAGAGTCAATATACAAGGCTGAACTACATTGGCTCAGGCTTTTTCAACTGCTTCAGGTTTTTTACTGCCTTACTACTGTTATCCAAGAGGAGATTTAAGGCAGCCGATAATTTGAAAGACCAAGAAGAAAAACAACGAAAATTACAAATAGGAAAACACCCAAGTTGCATAAGAAAAATTATGTCCTGCAACATCGGTACCTTACGCTTAGCAATTTCCTTTGCAATCTCTCCAGCCCTCCACTCATCAGCTTCTTTGTCAATCCGGTCAAATTGCTCACGCTCCTGAACTCATAAAGAGAGAAATGCACCAACAATACTGGTGATATAAGATATTAGGCTTCCTATTCAATGACAAAGTCATGGCACAATCAACAATAATGCAGGCACTCATCATAAACCATAACCACCTTTGCCAGGTTCTCAGCAACCTGCATCCTCTTTCTTTTCCGCCAACGCTTATTCCTCTTATACTTGCGCAATTTATCTGACAGTTTTACCGCAGCAGATTTTTCCTCCCACGGAGCTTTCACATCAGCTACAACTCTAAATGGTTCAAGCTGAACTCTCAATCTTGATGTTAAAGCATTAGCAGCTTCCAATGCTATCATTTCTTGAGAATCTAAATCAAACCTATTCTCCTCCATCAACTTATGAAACCTGTCAATTGAACTATCACCCTCACTAGATTCTTCCTCATTTTTCATCATAATCAACATCTCTAACTCCTTTCCCCTGCTCACCAATCAAAATTTTAGATCAATAACATGTCAATCATTATTTTTCCCAAGTCTAGGGCTTTGAAGCAAGGATTACTTACAATGCTTTAGCTAGATTAACAGTGTCATGCAAATCTTTGAGGCAATCACGGACGTTACTGCTTTTCCAGAAGGCACTGGATGGTGGTGGAAACGGCGGCAACACTGGAGCCCAATTCGGAGGCGCAGTAGGGTTGAATGGACCCGGAATCATTGGATTCATATCAAATTAAAACTGCAAAAGAAGCGTGGAATAGTTGGATTCATATCATTTGTTTGAAAGATAGTAGTAAATAAAATGAAAAAAATTTAGTCCTAGATACAGATAAACCAGAATATAAAGACCAAAAAATACCTTGAATACTGGGAGTAGATTGGGGAGGAGTGGGGATGGAGTCAACTTGGCTTTTGGTGAGCTGGGTGTCTGGTATCTGCCAAACAATTTTGGATTGAGGAGTGGATGGGTCTGGCTTTGGCTTTGAAACGCACATTCAGTTCTTGTAACTTGGCAGCTGATTTGTATAGGAGCAGCTCTTCACCCTATATTTTCTGTCGACCTTCTCACCACCAAAAACAAAAAGCGCTAACTTTCAGTTGTTATAAAACTAATAAACTACTATAGTATGAATAAAGATATTAGAGAAAGAAAAATAGATAGGATAAGAATTTATTTGGATGATTTATTTGATCCAGTTACTGTAGTACTTTTTGTGATGTGATGTATGTGAGATAAAAAGGTGATTGGGAATTGTGTGTATGATGCAAGCAAAACAAAATCTGAAATAAATCTTGCAAATTTTCTTTGTCCAAACAAAATCTGAAATATTCTAATATTTTAACTAAATACAAGTTCTTACAAAGGGTGTCAATATATCTCTATATATAGGTACTACAAGATTAAAGGAACATCAATCCTATTAAAAATTCACTATTACAAGAATAAGAAACTTATGAAACGGTTTCTCCATTACATGAATAGATTTGTGGATTGTAACTTCTATAAATAATGTAACCATAAATCATGAATTAATCATTTTGAAAATACAAAGGGACATCTGTATACTTTTAGTTGTTTCATAACACTCCCCCTTGGATGTCTATTATACAAAGAATATGCCTCGTTAAAACCTTAATAGGGAAAAATCCATCGGGACAAAAACCCTAATGAAGGAAAAAGAGTACACTATTCCTGTATATTAATTCTCCTCCTGATGCAAACATCATTTGAGATCTTTTAATCGTCGCATTCCAATTCTCTTCACCAATTTCTCAAATGTTGCAGTTGACAATACTTTGATAAATAAATCCGTCAAATTATTATCTGATCGGATTTGTTGCACAACAATTTCACCATTCTTTTGCAAATCATGAGTAAAAAAGAATTTTGGTGAAATATGCTTTGTTCTATTTCCTTTAATATATCCTCCTTTCAAGTGGGCTATACAAGCTGCATTATCTTTATATAATATAGTTGGAGAATTTTCTTTTTTGGAGGATAATCCACAGTTTTTTTGAATATAGTGGGTCATTGATTTTAACCAAACACATTCTCGACTGGTTTCATGAATTGCTATTATTTCAGTATGATTCGATGAAGTGGCGGCTAATGATTGTTTTGTAGATCGCCAAGAAATGGCTGTACTTCCATATGTAAATAGATAGTCAGTCTAAGATCTTGCTTTATGCGGGTCGGATAAATACCCAACATCAGCATAACCAACCAATTCAGGTTTGGATTTATTTGAATAAAATAAACCAAGATCAATTGTTCCTTAGAGATAGCGAAAAATATGTTTAATACCATTCTAATGTCGTCTTGTGGGCGAGAAACTAAATCTTGCTAATAAATTTACTGCAAATGATATATCAGGTCTTGTACAATTAGCAAGATACATTAGACTTAGTGCACCAATTGCACTGAGATATGGTACTTCAGGATTAAGTATCTCTTCATTTTCCTCTCGTGGTCTAAAAGGATCCTTATTAGGATCTAATGATCTGACAACCATTGGGGTACTCAATGTATGTGCTTTATCCATATAAAATCGCTTTAATACCTTCCGGGTATAAGCAGCTTGGTGGACAAAAATTTCACATTTCAAATGCTCAATTTGTAAATCAAGGCAGAATTTTGTCTTTCCAAAATTTTTGATCTCAAATTCTTTCTTCAAATATTCAACACTATTTTGAATCTTATCAGGAGTTCCAATTAAATTTAAATCATCAACATATATCGCAATTATCACAAAATTTGATCTATTTTTCTTGATAAAAACACATAGACATATTGGATCATTGGTATAACCTTTTTTAGTTAGACATTCATTGAGGCGGTTATACTACATACGTCTAGATTGTTTGATCCCATACAAAGACATTTGTAATTTAATAGAATAAATATCTTTATAATTTGATTTGCATGCTTCAGGCATGTTGAATCCTTCGGAGATTCTCATATAAATATCATTTTCAAGATTTTCATATAAATATGCAGTAACAACGTCCATTAGATGTATATCTAATTTTTCATGTCCTACAAAACTCATAAGATATCTAAATGTGATAGCATCCACTACAGGTGAATACGTTTCATCATAATCAAATCCAGGCCTTTGTGAAAATTCTTGGGTTACAAGTCTTGCTTTATACCTCACAATTTCATTTTCCTCATTTCTTTTTCTCACAAATACCCATTTATATCCTACTGGATTTACACCTTCAGGTGTTTGGACTGCAAGTCCAAAAACTTTTCTTTTAACTAGTGAGTCCAATTCAAATTGGATCGCATCTTTCCATTTTGACCAATCATTTCTATGTCGACATTTATCAACCGATTTAGGCTCATGATTCTCGTCCTTTGCCATAATATCAAGTGCTACATTATATGCAAAAATATCATCAATAATTATTTTTTTCGATTCCAATTTTTTCTTGAAGTGACAAAATTTATTGAATTTTCTATAATTTCATTATCTTCAAGAATTGGCTCTTTAGGAGCGACCTCTTCAGGAAGTTGAATTTTATCACTAATTGTTGATTCATCTACTTCTCTTTTCTTTTGAGAATTTTTATCTTTGGAACCAAGAGGTCTCCCACGTTTCAGGCGTACTTTAGACTCATTAGCACTTATAATTTGTCCTTCAGGAACATCGATTTTGATCGGAGTATTTTCAGCAGGAATATGTAATTTAGTAACTCTTCTGGAGTCATTAAATACATCCGGTAATTGATTTACAATTTTTTGTAAATGTATAATCCTTTGAATTTCTAATTCACATTCTTTAGTACGAGAATCAAGGAAATTCAATGATATTTTCCAAGTGATATCCTTTTTCGGTTGATTTTTATCTCCCCCTAATGTCGGAAAATGTGATTCATCAAAATGACAATCTGCAAATCTCGCAGTAAATAAATCACCTGTCAATGGTTCCATATACTTAATAATTGAAGGTGATTCATAACTGACATATATCCCCTATCTTCTTTGGGGGCTCAATTTACGACGTTCGGGCGGTGCAATTGGGACATACACCGCACAACCAAATATTTATAAATGAGAAATATTTGGCTCATAACCAAAAGTTAATTGTAGGGAAGTATAAGTATGATAACTTGTCGGCCTAATTCTCACAAGTGTTGTTGTATGTAAAATAACATGTCCCCAAGCAGATGAAGGAAGCTTAGACCTCATCAACAATGGTCTAGCAATTAATTGTAACCGTTTAATGAATGATTCGGTTAAACCATTTTGTGTGTGAACATAAACTACAGGATGTTCAACAGTTATTCCAATGGACATACAATAATCGTCAAAAGCATGTGATGAATATTCACCAGCATTATTTAGACGAATTTTCTTTATTGGATAATCTGAAAATTGTGCTTACAATTTAATTATTTGAGCAAGCAATCTCGCAAACGTCAGGTAGCGAGTAGATAATAAACATACATGTGATCATCTAGTTGATGCATCAATTAGCACCATAAAATATCGAAATAGTCCACATTGTGGATCTACAGTTCCACATATATCACCATGAATTCGTTCTAGAAATGTAGGGGATTCAGTCCCAATTTTAACTTGTGATGGTCTAATAATTAATTTTCCTTGAAAACAACCAACACAAGAGAATTCATTGACTTTTAATACTTTTTGATTTTTCAATGAGTGGTCATGTGAATTCTCAATTATTCGTTTCATCATTATAGATCCCGAATGTCCGAAACGATTATACCAAACCATAAAATCATTGAGATGAGTAGATTTCCGGTCTACTAGGTAATGAATTTCAATTGCACTAATTTCTGCATAATATAAGCTAGAAGAAAAAGAAGGTAATTTTTCTAATGTGCATTTCTGCTCAGAAATGATACTTGTGATTAATAAAAATTCACCATTTGTCTCAGTCATTGTCTCGATATGATATCCATTTTCGGGGATATCTTTAAAACTCAATAAGTTTCTCCGAGACTTGGAAGAGAGTAGTGCAGTATTTACGATAATTTTAGTCCCTTCAGGGAAAAATAGAGTGGCTCTTCCGGAGCCTTCAATCAATTTTACACTACCACTAATGGTATTAACATTTGTCTCTCCTATTTTTAAACAAGAAAAATATTTTTTATTTTTCAATATGGTGTGCGTAGTAGCACTATCAATGAGACAAATGTCATCATCATTATTATTTAATCCCAAATATTTGACATCTATTTCTTCTTCAGGAAGAAAATTTCAAACAAAAATAAATATTAACAAAGATGCGAAAATAAATATTCAATGGAAAGAAAATTACATGAAAGATATAAAACATCATAAAAATATCTAAACAATCATGGAATATTTGTTGACATCTTCAGGATGCTCAAAAAAATCAGCTACATCGAGGTGTGTCATATCAGCATCATCACCATCATCATAGTCATTCTTTTGATCAATGAAATTTGTCTCAATGCCTTTGTCTTTCTTTTTCAATAATGCTTGATAGAGGTCAACAAGATGCTCGGCCGTACGACAGGTACGAGACCAATGACTTTCCATACCACACCGGTAGTATTTTTATTCATAAACTTTCTTTTCTCCATTTTTCTGATAGTAGTTATTTTCCCTATTTTGGAAAATATTTTGTTGTTTGCCACGATTATAATTTTCACGGGGCACAAATCTACTACGATCACGTCTACGGTCACGCCCACGTCCACGGCCACCTCTACGACCACGTCCACGACCTCGACCAAAATTTTGAAATTGAGTCGTATTCACTTCGGGGAATGGACTTGCACCAATTGGTCGAAACTCATGATTTTTCAGCAATAATTTATTATTTTGTTCAGCCAAAAGAAGACATGCGATAAGTTCAGAATATTTTTTAAATCCCTTCTCTCGATATTGCTGCTGCAGGAGCATGTTAGAGACATGAAAAATAGAAAATGTCTTCTCTAACATATCTTCATCAGTGATTTTTTCGTCACATAATGAAAATTGAGAAATAATTCTGAACATGATTGAATTATATTCATTGATAGATTTAAAATCTTGTAGCCGTAAGTAAAACCAATCATATCGGGCTTTTGG